TGAGCATTGGCAACTTATTTAAGTAAAAGCCCCTGAGCTCTGTGAAAGCAGGGGCAGGGGCTGCTGCTCCTCATCCCCTCCTCTCTCCTGCTACCAAATCTAGTGAGGAGGGGCAGGAAGAGCAAAGAGTAGCTGGCTTTGGAGCTGCTGGAAAGCAGGGACTTTAGGCAGATCAGCCTGTGAGCTCATAATGTTCACAGCATATGGGGAGCTCCCAGCAGGAGCTGTGCTAACTTGCCTGTGAGCTCCAGATGCTCTCTGTGCATGCCACACACAGCCAAAGGGAGATGTGACCATGTCGCTCCATCCCCTCTGGATCCATCTGGAGGAGGAAGGCTTTGTGTGTATTTCTAGTATAACTATTATACACCAGGATTTAAATCAAAGAAAACTGTAAATGGAGAAGAGACACCAGTAGGAAGAAAATGAAAAAAATCTTTCTTGAGGAATTCCCCCAGTTTGGATCTGTTCAGGCTGGAATGGTCTGCTCTTTTCAAAGCTGAGCTTAGGATAAGAAGGAGTCCAGCACCTACAAAGGGTTGGCTTGAGGAAAGCAGTGTAGGGAGTGGATTGTGAGAAGGGAGAAGCTGCCCCTCAGAGGGACAGACACCCACAGGACTCTGACATCAACTTCCTTGAGTCCCTGAAAATGTCCAGGATGGGCACTTCTTCTTATGGCTTAGGATGACAGCATGGTAATAGTGTGTATCAATCAATAGATATTCAGGGACTCAAACTGGATAGAAAACAGAGGTACAGACTGTAACAAACTAGGGGCTGAGGAGTTGGGAGTGAAACAACTGTCCTGGGAATCTGTTCTCTTCCTTCAGACAAAGATTTGAGGAGAAAGATGAGGAGGAGCTGCAGCTCTTAGTTTGCTGAATCCAACCAGGATGAAGTTGGTAATAGTTGTACAATTTGCTGCTGCCATGGAAGATGTTGCCAAGATTAAACTATATTTTGTTCCTTTGCAAGAGCATATAAATGAAGCTAGGTTTGATTTCTACCCCTATAGAAGTATAGAAAAGTTCTTTGAAGAGTTGTGTTGTGGGACAGGGCAAATGATGATTGCTTCAGATGGTCACTGGATGTCACTGCTATTCAAAAAAATCCTAAAGCAAACCAGAAATTTTCATGTTGGAAACTCGGTGCTTGCCTGAAAGACAGAGATTCAGGATGTTTGGATTTTAGGAAGTCACAAGAAACAAAAACCACGGTATTGAAATTCCATAGGAAGTTAGGGCCCTATTTCTATCTTTTTTTCTGGTTTGAGACTCAGATACAAGTTGCACATCTAATAAACACACACACATTACAATGTATCAGTCTTCTGAGAGATGAAGTATCAAGAGCTGTCCTCTCAGGGCTGCTGCATTTCGTACATCCTGCACATAACATAGCTCATGCCCAAATCATTTAACATCTCTAGTTCCACCAATATGCATGAACAGTACTGTTCATCCTGCCTCATGAAGCCTGCATAAAAGTGTTTATATTGTTGTTATGAAGACACAGAAATCATTCACTGGGGACTTTTATAATTGGTAAAATATAGTTTACATGATACAAGAATAGAAAACCATTGATGTAATGAAAGCCACTAGTGGTAAATTAAAACCAAACCAAATCAATTCCAATTAAAAATAAGGCCCACATTGTTAAAAAAAAGAGGGGAAGCAACCATTAGAAGGAGCTACTAGAGGAAGGGATATATTGTCCCCCTATGGAAATCTTAAATCCATATTGGATTCCCTTCTGGTAGATGCGGCTTACTCACACGTTAGTCAAATAGAAGCAAGGGGAGGGAGGTTCATGGTCTGTGACACATTGCTTATACTGGGACAGTGATTCTCAGCCAGGGTGGCATGCACCCTGGGTTACCTTGAGATATTTTCAATGGTGCCATGTCATATTAGCACTATTAGGTCTGCAATGGAAATTCTCACCTAGAGATAGAATATTCTCACCTACACAAACCTAGATTCCCACCTAGATAAACCCAATGGGCACAGCATATGCCTTCCCCTTCTCCCTTGTCTCTCCACCCCCAGAATGGGTATGTTGGCAGTCACTCAGGGAGCTGGCCTGAAGCATTTGATTAGCAAGAAAATTCATCTGCATAAGTCCCACCTATGCTAACTGATGTGCCACAGCATCATCACTCAAGACTTCACTGAGCATGGCACTTGAAAGGCACCTCCTTAACCTGTGTTATGTGCTCTGGAAGCCTAAGAGCTTGATGCCCCAAGGCAAAGAAATGAGACATTCCATGGAGGATGTGCTTTTCAGACCTTATCTGTAGACCGTGTACTGCCATTTCCAGGCCCAGGAGACAAGCAGACTTTGGTGGGAATGGATAGATCTTAGGAGCTGGCATGATATGTGACAGCACAACTTTGGGATGGACAGATCCTTGAGATTTGTGCTGAGCTGGCCCCATTATTTGCATGACAAGTCACCAGCATGAGGGCACCCCAGACCATTAAGGAGTGGGTAGAAATTGTCATTTGACATCTCAAAATGCCTGACAGCCTCCAGCCTCTTGTTTGTTGCTAACTGCTTAAGCATGGTTAAGTCCACAGCTATAGTGGCCATTTGGATCGTGTACCCTGCCATCTAGAAGTTAGCACCATAGTTCATCCACTTCACTATCACAGGGCTTCTTATGCCTGGATTTGCCAGTACTGCATTTCCAGAGTGTATGAGTTTCATTCAAGGCATCCAAGTACATTTGTGGCAAGAGCCCAGCACAAATCATTTCGATGTTTATAATGTTTAAAAATGCTTGTTTTCTTGGTTTACAACCACATTAATATATTGTCCCTTACATTACTAGATGGTGTCTTACTCCTAACCTGTTTCCCTGCACTGGAAGTAGTTAACCAAGATTCTTACAAGAATGCTCTGATGGTTGTGGTGTTCAGGAGACTGAGTGTCAGAGGTATGACTGGGATGTAAGAGGTCAGGGCTTGACTATAGGGGGTCCCTACACAGAGGATCGAGACTGAGAAAGTTGGGAAACCTTCTGCCCCCTGACCATAGTTACAGAGCTGCAAAAAAGCCATTTTTTCTCCCCTCACCCCTGCCAGTGCCTGGAGAGATTATCATTGTCCTGCTCTAGTCATGTAACTGCTCTGGTACCACCAGGTCTTCCATCTGTGCTCAAGGCCTGCTGGGTTT